GTGGACCAGTCTTGTCCTTTGATGTCCCTCGCCTGGCGCTGCCCTATTGGACGCTCCCCTCCTGGGCGGGGGCACCAACCCCAGTCTCACTCAGGAGCCTGCAGAGACCTTGTGCTGTTGTCCAGGCGGCGCCCAGGGAGCAAGGTGTGACCTACCTGGCCTTCCCCAGATTTCCTGCTGCTTTTCCCAGGGATTCCAAACCAAGCCCCTAATCCAAGTCTTAATTGGCCACCCAAAGGACAGACACTGGTGGTTGGAAAATTTCCAAATAGGATTTTTTTTTTTCCCCTTTTAGTCCCCTCTTAAGCACCAGGCTGAAACGAAAACCAACAGCCGGCCCTCCCAGCCACACATGCTCCTGCTGGGCTAGCCTTGCTTGCCAACTCACAACACTCCACCCCACCCCCCACTGCAAACTTGCTTGCAATGGGGGTGGGGCTGGGGAGCTATTCCAAATGCCATCAGGGCTCCAGTGGCTATGAGTGGGCTGCTAACCATAAGGTCAGCAGTTCAAAACCACCAGGCACCCCTGGCAGGGAGAGAGACGGGCCTTTCTACTCCGTGGAAGAATGACAGTCTCAGAAACCCAGAGAGGCAGTGCTACGCTGCCCTGTGGCAGGGAGGGTGAGGTTTGCATGTTTGATTCCGAATGCCTCGCCTGCTTATTTCTGTACAGATTTTGTCTGAGCGGGACAACTTGGTACGGCTTCTCGCTGCCCCGGCTTCCAAATGGATGGAAAGTCAGAGAGAACAAAATTAATGAATCAGTCTACCTTGACACAGGAAGCCAGCAAGAGTCCTGGCATTCAGTGGAGTGAACCATGGGATCCTCATTCCATAGTTTATGAGATGGACCAACCTAACCCGCCCCGCCCCCCCAAAAAAACCCTCACTGCCATGGAGTCGATACCAACTTGTAGCGACCCTAAAGGACATGGTGGGGCTGTCCCTGTGAGTTTCCAAGACTCTAACTCCCCACAGGAGTAGAAAGCCTCCTCTTTCGCCCTCAGAGCATCTGGTGGTTTCAAACTGCTGACCTTGCAGTTAGCAGCCCAACGAGTCACCACTACACCACCAGGGCTCCTGACCAAACGGATTAATTTTAAATGACAAGGACATGTCTACAGAGTCCTTAGAATCTTTCTGGAAGGAAGCTGACTGACTGCACACCAGTTCAAGCATACACTTACATACAAGCGCCTCCATTGCCCTCAGTCGGTTTTGATTCACGCTGGCCCATAGGACAGAGAAGTACTGCCTCCACGCAGTTACTAGGCTGTCTTTTTAAGGGGACCCCAGGTGGCGCAACAGTTAAGTGCTTGCAGCTAAAGGAAAGGCTAGCACTTTGAATGCACTCAGTGGCTTTTCTGGGAAAGACCGGGCAGCCTGTCCTGTGATGATTACAGCCCAGAAAGCCCCATGGGGCACTTCCACCGTCTGCCAGAAATTTGACAAGACAGCACCACACGCCAACAAGAACAATCTTTCTGCCCCCGTCCCACCCCACGCCCCATGGCAGCTGGTGGGTTCAAACGGCTGACCTTTCAGTTCACAGCCAAGTGCTTAACTCATAGCGGCTCTAAGACAGAGCAGAACTGCCACTGTGTGTTTCCGCGGCTGTAAATGTTTACAAGGGCAGACAGCCTCGTCTTTGTCCCTCCAAGCGGATGATGCTGCCCAACTGCTGGCCTTGTGGTTAGCATACAACATGTGACCCTCTGCATCTCTCTCTCTTTCACACACACACACACACACACACACACACACACACACACACACACACCCCGACAGCTCCCTGCTCACTCACTGCCATCGAGTCAGTTCTGACTCAGCCTATGGGACAGGGTAGAACTGCCCTATGGGTTTCTGAGATTGGTACTACTTATGGGTGTAAACAGCCTCATCTTTCTCTCGCGGAGTGGCTGGTGGTTTCGAACTGCCGACCTTGTTCATCGCAGTCCGACGTGTAACCGCTCTGCAATGGCCACTACCAAGAATTTTCCTCCCCTCCCTCCTCTTCCTTTCTCTCTCTCTTTTTCCTGTCTCTTTCACTTGATAACACCGATGAGTGTCACCACCACCCCTGAGCCCTTTCCAGACTGACTGGACATGGGGCAGGAGACCCAGGGCTCTGCTCCCAGAACAGGGCCTGGTTCTTGACCCAGAGCCCAGCCCTGCTGTCTGCTGTCGCTGCTGCTGGGGCCGCTCAGAACCATACCGCTTCCAGTAAGTGTGCAGGTATGATGTGGTGGGCGATGGTGTGCCTCCAGGTGGTAAGGACACCTAATGCTTTGGGGTGGGGACACCGGGCCCACCTGGGACTCTGGGCAGACAGCAGCCCAGCCCAGTGAAGGGAGGGAGTGTGAAGCCAGAGGACTCACATGCCAGCCTGTGTCCCTCACTCCCATGGGGTCCTGGGGCCAGTGACTTTACTTCCCTGAGCCTCTGTTTCCTCCCTGGCAAAGTAGGGAAGTCATATCTACCCCAAAAGGTGGTGTAAGGAGCCCCGGTGCCGCTGTGGTTTGGCACCAGGCTGCTAACCACAAGGACGGTGGTTCAAACCCACCAGCTGCTAGGAAGGAGAAAGATAAGGCGACCCACTCAGATGTGCAGTTGAAACCGATTCGACGGCAGTGGACTTTTATCGAAGCTGTTTATTCATAAAAGACTGGAGATAACGGCATTGAGAAACGAAAACCCTGGTGCAAAACCTTGGGCTTCTATGTCTGCCCTCCCTGACTTGAGAGCCATTTGGAGAGGGAGCACCCACCACGCCTTCTACAGCCCAGCCTGACTCCTGCTGCTCCAGAGACCTCCCTTCGGAGCCACGGATCTTCCCAAATTCTAACTGTCATGCTAGGGACTGGTGCGGGGGTCGAGGAAGACCAAGGACAGCCGGTTAGGCACAGGGTGTGGCCGCCCAGAATCAAGGTTCCTGGGGCCCAAACACGGAGACGTCCATAAAACTGGGCAAGAGCGAGCCTGGCACGTGCTCTCAGCAGGAAGCAAAGGAGCACAGCTCACCCCCACGGGCGTGCTCCCACTCGCCTGTCTCCTTTTTGGCTCCGAACACAAGTTTTATATAAATTCCAAATACGCCCCGGTGTGAATTTTCTACATCATGCTCGCTGAACTGGAGGGGCAGGGGAGAAGAGGGCGGGCCCCCCACAAGATGGGCAGCCCCAGACTCTGCCAGAGTGGGCTCAGGCATAAGAGCTGTCGTGAGGATGGCGCAGGACCGGCCGGTGTTTCCTCTGTCGTCTATCGGAACCGACCCGACAGCACTTCCTTTCAAAAGGAAGACTAGGAGCCCGTCTCTCGTTCACTCCTTCACGAACTGCTACCTGTGACAGGAATGTTTCCACAGTATCCAGCGGAAGACAGCTGAATTAAAGAAAAAAGATGGTCCAGGTGTCCTGCTGTCGATCAGAACCCGGGGGCTGTCTGGTGTAGATTAAGAATAAAAACGATCCACACAAGCATGGCACAGGTGTGAGAGGAGGCCAAGAATTCCATTTTGAAGCTCTAAAGAGCCGGAGAAACCAATTGTCTGAAGCAGTAAATGGAAATCCTTGGACTCTTAGCTCATGGGACGTGATGCAAACGCGTCCCCTGTGCAGATGCCCGGGAAATGCTCATGCCACGTCACAGCCCAGCACAGGGTCTGGTGGGTCCCCACTCTTGCCCGCTGCTGGGAACCCTCAAATCCCAAGTGTTAGCGCACCTGGGGCCATGGCATCATTGTGGAACAGCCGCCACGGACAAGGGGCAGAAGCATTTCTTTAAGGCTTTCTGCACAGCTAAGCATCTGGCATTTTATGCTCCACAGCCTGGTGGTGTAGTGGTTAAGCATTAGGCCGCTAACCGTAAGGTTAGCAGTTCAAAACCACCAGCTGCTCCTCAGGAGAAACACAAGGCTGCCTCCTCCCGTACAGAGGTACATTTTCAGAAACCCACAGAGGCAGTTCTGAGGCCCCGCAGGGTCATTACGAGTCTGAACCGACTCCACATGGCAGTGAGTTTTGTGGGTTGGAGACCCATGGCGTGTGAAATATAAGCTGCTGATAGGACAAGCGGGCATGGGTGGACTAGGATCCCACTGAGGGTGCAAGTTCAAGGCAGAGAGGTGTCTCCGTTTTCTACGTAACAGTTTCCGGCTGGGAAGGCCACTAGAATTTGGCTAGGTTCCAAGCATGGGCTTGGGATCAGGGCAGGCTCTGGTACACGGGTTAGGCTCCCATTTGCTTTGCCAAGAGAGACGTGTGGGCAAAACATGCACACGGAGTGCAAGTCCTTGACTGACGGGCTGCCCCCAAACCTCCAACCGATTCTCAGTCAAAAGTTAAGAAAAATTTCAAAAAGCAAAACAGCACACGGTGGTTTAGCCACTGAGATCTCAAAGACCCTTTTCTACTAAAGGCAAAAAAAAGAAGAAAAGTAGAAATACGCTTATATAACGTGTCATGGCAGCACGCCAAAACATTGGACTTTGGCCAAGATTCAGTGCCGACCAGTCATTGGAAAGTGCGTTTTATATACATGTATATACATGTATCTATGCACGCGTACATACACAAATATGCATGTTGAATTCATGTATATATAGATAAAATCTATGTATGTACAGATGTGGGAAACCAGTCATTGGAAATGTTTTATATACACATATACATACATATACATATTTACATGTGTATATACACAAATATGTACACCGAATACACGTACATATAGATAAAAATCTATGTGTGTACATATGTGGGAGGAAGTTGGAACGTTCTACTCCTATAAAGACTTACAGTCTTGGAAACCCACAGGGGCAGTTCTGACCCGCTAGCAGTGAGATGTACACCATGTATATGTGAAAGTAAACTGTATATATGGATATATACAAGAGGTATATTTAATATGCACACACGCATCTGTATATGAAAATAACACTGGTTTCCAAACCTGAGCTGGACCTGCTGCCAGCACCCTCTGCGGACAGCCGGGCCTACCTCTTGGTTGCAGGCATGGCCATCTCTCTCCTGGCCCCGGACGGGGAGGGCAGGGAGCCCGTGGATTTCTTTGGTAACACGGTGCCATTGTTGACAGTGGTTCTTAAAGGCAGGGTCTGCACCAGTGGCCTGGCTGTAAAAGAAGCAGAAAAGGACATTAGACATGGTGGAAGCAAGAAGGAAAAGACAAGCCACTGAGTGTGTGTGTGTGTGTGTGTGTGGGTGGGGTGTTTGCCAATCACACGCTGATGATTAAGTACAAAATAGACAAAGAACATTGACATTTTAATGGTTAAAAAAAAAAAGCAAACAACCCAATTGTGGCAGTTACATAATCCCCTGTCAACTTGGGAAGGGGTGGAGTCTAGTATGTCAATCAGGTCATAGCCAATCATGCCTCTGTGTGGGTGTGGCCTTCTCCTGAGGATTCTGGGAACTCCTGTCTTCCTCCCTGGAGGTGGGACACACTCTCTCTGCTTCGTATTCCTGATGACAAGCCACGTGGAGACACACTGATGGAGCCAGAGCCCTGGAGTTGGAGGAGACATGTGGAGACCCACACCAGCGCTGAGCTGCTTCCACAAGACTTTCACCCACTGGCCTGTGATCTTCCTGCATTCAGCATCATTGCATGTGTTGTAAGTCTGAAGGGGAATTTGGACTAGCATTCTCCACTGCATATCTGCACGTCGAAGTTGGACGTTGAATAGAGAAGACTGCAGAAGAACGGATGCATTTGAATTGTGGTGCTGGAGATCACTGAAAGTGCCCAGGACTGCTGAAAGAACAGACTAATCTGTCTTGGAAGAAATAAGCCCAAAGTGCTCCTTAGAGGCAAGGATGGGGAGACTTCCTCTTACATACTTTGGACATGGAAGAACCAGTCTCTGGAGAAGACAGCATGCTGGCAAAGTAGAGGGGCTGTGAAGGAGAGGAAGGCTCTCAAGGAGATGGATGGACACAGCAGCTGCATCATGGGTTCAAGCGTAGGAGCAGGTGTGAGGATGGCGCACCACTGGGCAGTGTTTCATTCTGTTGTGCACGGGGTTGCTATGGGTCGGAACCGACTCCACTTAGGCACCTACTAACAGCAGGTAATGCGGATAAAGCAGAGACTTCAATGAGCAACAATGTAACAGGACTGGTCATTTGTGGTGACAGATGATAACAAAGTTGCAGTTGAATTGGTTCTCAAGGACCCTGTTCACCACTGAACAAAACACAATGGCTGTTATGTTTAAGCCCACAGTTAACTGTCAACAATGTATCCCGACTGGCTCATTCAGGATGACCCATCATGTAAGATACTGACAGTAGGGGGGAAACAGGGTGCCGAGTATTAGAGAACGACTGCACTGTTCTCTCTCTCTGGTTTGTTTTTGTTTGACATTAGCTCGTTCCACCAAAGAACTGAAGTGGTAAAGTTGTTACTCACTGAGCTGCTAACAGCAAGGTAGGATGTTTCCGAACCCCTAGCCCTTCAGCAGGAGAAAGACGCCTTTCTACGCCTCTGAACAGTTACAGTTACTCCTGTAAACAGCTACGTGTCAGTAACTCCCAGGGGCAGTTCCACCCTGCCCTGCAGGGTCCCTATGAGTCGGCATTGACACGGTGGCAGTGAGTTTGGTTTGGTTGCTATTCTTGCAACGTTTCTGTACATCTAAAATCAATCTACAATCAAACACTTATCAAACATGCCAGCAGAGATGATTTTGTCCATCACAGAGTTATCATACTTTAGGGAAACCATGGGATGGCATATATCATTTTAAGAGTGGTTCTCATCTCCCTCCTCCTGCTTTTTGGAGTTTTTTTTCCCCCCTCCATTCAAGAAAACATGTATCAGCTTGGCTGGGCTGATGACCCTGTACTTGAGCAGTTATGAAGGGATGTGATCAGCCCCGTGATGTGATCAGACAACCAGGCTTAGGAGGATCAGTGTGGGACGTGACACCTTATTCAGTCACAATCCTGATCCGATGTCAGGGGGGTTCTCGGGTGTGTGGCTACGATCGCCTTTTTTCTTAAAAGGGAGAACAGAAGGTGAAGCAGGCAGACCAGAGGGACTTCCTACCATCGAGAAAGAACTACAAATGAAACACACCCTTAGGGCCCAGGATCCCTGGGCGGGGAAACTCCTAGATCCGGGCGAAGACTGATGACAAAGGACCTGCCCCCAGGTGTGACATCAGCCCCAGTAACAGACACAGGGTCCAGCCTTATCTCCCTTGCTCTTCCTGCCCAGCTTCCCCTCAGCACTGCTCCTTGGAATGTGCCTGCCAGCGTTCTCTGCAGGCTCTGTCCAGACCCATCTCCTTACAACCCTCATCTGAACATCGTCAGTCCTTCTAGCCTACTACTGTGCCAGGAGCAAACGGAACGATGAAAATCTTGATGGGAAATTATACAAAGAAAGAAAAAAAAAGGCGGAGGGAGATGAGGACCAGTCTTAAAATGTCAGGAAGGGCAAGATCGCTTGTGGCAGGATCCAGTCCTGCTCAGCCTTCTCGATGCACCCCAGGGCTTTTGTCGGCCGGCTCTCGAAGGGCTCGGTACCACCACCACCGATGCACTCACAGCCACACCAAGCTTCTTCCAAGTGCCTGTGTCCAAAACGCACCAGCCACCCGGAGGAGAGAGGTCGCCGCTTTTAAGGGCAAATTTGGGAAAGAAAATAAAACAAAACCGAAAAATACCTCCCATCTGAACACACACCAGGCCAGGCCACAAGGATGCCAGGCCACAAGCGAGTCTGCAGAGAAACCGTCTCAGACAAGTGATCTAAAACGAATCTGATCCGAGGGCTACTGGACACAGGGTGTCGGTGGGAAGAGGAATGTGTCCCCAGCTTCTGGACGGCACTGAGATGCGAGGCGATCTTGTGGTTTACAGGGTGTGTGTGTGACTGTGTGTGTGTGTGAAATGACTTTTCATTGTTTGGGGGGAGGGGGGGTTAGGGGGGGTGGCAAAATCCAGCCGCCTAGTGCTGAAAGGAGTATGACGAAGGAGATGGGAGGAGAAGGCATTCATTCTGAGGAGCCGTCGCAGGTCTGGCTCCCAGCTCCAGGGAGATTCCTTCCTTAAAGGGCAGGACTCTTGAGCCAGATAGGTCTGGACTCATTCCCATCTCAGACACCTCTGAGCTCTGGCCTGGGATAACTCAGCTGCGGCTCAGTGTGTAAAACCTCGCACAGCAGGGCTGCAGAGGGAGAGAAGAGGCAGCCTGAGGTTCCTCCCATGCTGCCTGGCACCCAGTGGGCACAGGAGAAGTGGGAGCTGTGACCCATGGCTACGTCCAGATTCCCAGCCAGGATGGAGAGACGTCGCCGTCAGAAGGGAGCATGTGTGGTAAAATAGAGGGGCAGCGACCCAGCAGAAGGGCCTCAATGAGATGGATGGACACCGTGGCTGCAACCAGGGGCTCAGACAAAACCAGTGAGGCTGGTGCAGGGCCGGGCAGTGTCCAGGGTTCCTGCGAGTCGGATCAGACTTGACAGCACCTGACAACAAGATGTGGGTCTGTGATCCACAAGACCAACAGTTTGAAACCTCTTCCAAGTTAAAACAATCCCATCTAGGGTTTCCAAGGCTGTAAATCTTTACCAGAGCTGACAGCCTCATTCTTCTCCTGAAGAGCTGGCTGGTGGTTTTGAACCGCAGCCCAATGATGAGTAATCATGACGCCACCAGGCTTCCTCCCTTTGAAAGCGCCCTTGCTCGTGTGTTATATTATCAAAAACCAAGAATGCTTCTTAAAAACAAGAAGCATCCTCCTAGACCAATGGTTCTCAACTTTCCTAATGCCACAACCCTTTGATATAGTTCCTCATGTTGTGGTGACCCCCCCAACCATAAAATTATTTTCATTGCTACTTCATAACTGTCATTTTGCTACTGTTATGAATCGGGCGACCCCTGTGAAAGGGCCGTTTGACCCCCAAAGGGGTCTTGACCCACAGGATGAGAACCGCTGCCCTAGACAATCTCCTCCTCCTCTCTCACCTTGAGAGGGGTCCCTCTTCACTCTTGGTTTTCCAAGCAAGCCATACGCATCTATGCTTAAAGTCCCCTCACCTGGAGAGGTCCCTCACCATCTCTTTTGAAGTGACCCTATGCTTAAACAAACCCTATGCTTAACTCTTTGCTGGTGTGTATGTGCGTGTGTGTAGAGAGAGAGAGAGAGAGAGAGA